ATACTATGAAGAGTTGTACTCCAACAAATTTGAAAACTTAGAAGAGATGGATACATTTTTAGATAAACACGACCTACCTAGACTTACACACAGTGAAGTAGAAAATCTGAACAGACCCATAAACAAAAGAAGAAACTGATCAGGTCATCAAAAGACTTCAAACCAAAAAAGTCCAGGTCCAGATGGCTTCACTGGTGAATTCTACCAAACATTCAGGGAAGAGCTGTCACCAATTCTACTCAAATTATTACAGAAGATAGAGGAGGATGGAAGACTTCCTAATATGTTTTATGAAGCAAGCATAACACTCATACCAAAACCAGGGAAGGACATCACTAAAGAAAGAAAATTATAGTCCAATATCCCTCATGAACATAGATGTAAAAATACTCAACAAAATCCTAGCCAACAGAATCCAGCAACACATCAAAAAGATAATACATCATGATCAAATGGGATTCATATCAGGGATACAAGGATGATTCAACATTAGAAAAACGATCAACATTATTCACCATATAAATATAAAAAAAGAAAAGAACAACATGATCATATTGATTGATGCAGAAAAGCATTTGACAAAATCCAACATTCATTCCTGATAAAAACACTCAACAAAATATGAATTGAAGGGAAATTCCTCAACATAATCAAGAACATATATAAAAAACCAACAGCCTATCTTACTCTCAATGAAGAGAAACTAAAAGCCTTTCCTCTGTGAACAGGAACCAGACAAGGAAGCCCTTTGTCACCACTCCTATTCAATATTATGCTGGAAGTCTTAGCAAAAGCTATACGGCAAGACAGGGAAATTAAAGTCATCCAAATTGGCAAATAGGAAGTAAAACTCTCTGTATTTGCAGATGATATGATCCTATAAGTAGAAACCCCCAAAGACTCAGTAAAAAAGCTACTAGACCTCACTGGAAGATTCAGCAAAGTGGCAGGATATAAGATCAACATACAAAAATCAATTGGATTCCTCTATACCAAAACGAGAGTGTTTAAAAGGACATTAGGAAAGCAATACCATTTACAATAGTCACCCAAAGTATGAAATATCTAGGAATAAATGTAACCAGAGAAACAAAGGACTTATAAAAGGAAAACTACAAAACATTACTACAAGAAACCAAAAGAGACTTACAAAAATGAGAATGTACCATGCTCCTGGATAGGAAGACTTATATAGTGAAAATGTCAATGCTGCCTAAAGCAATTTACATATATAATGCAATCCCAATCCAGATTCCAATAACATTCTTCAAAGACATGGAAAAACCAATTACAAACTTTATATGGAAAGTAAACAGACCCAGGATAAGCAAAGGACTCCTTAAGAAGAAGAATAAGGTTGGAGGCCTCTCACTCCCCAACTTTAAAATTTACTACACAGCTACAGTGGTCAAAAAAGCTTGGTACTGGTACAAAGAAAGATACATAAATCAATGGAACAGAATCGAGAATCCAGAAATTAACCCATCTACATACGGCCAACTGATGCTGGCAGAACTGAAAAATGATATGCAAAAGATTGAAACGAGACCTTCACCTCACACCTTATACAAAAACCAACTCAACATGGATTAAAGACCTAAATGTGAATCATAGAATTATGAAAGCCATCAATGAAAAAATAGGGACAAATGTGAGGGTACTAATTCAGGTTCTACGCAGACTAGCAAACATTTTGAACACTAAACAAATAAAAGTAAACAAAATAGATTAGTGGGACATACTAAAAATTAAAAGCGTATGTGCATCAAAAGACTTCACCAGAAGAATAACAAGGGAGCCCACAGAACGGGAAAAAAAATCTTTTGTAATGAACCATCAGACAAGGGACTCATTTCTAAAATATATAGGAAATTACAACACCTCTACAAGAAAAAGACAAATAACCCAATTAAAAAATGGGCACAGGACATGAACAGACACTTCATCAAGGAAG